GAAAGAACAAGTTTTCTAACGTAAATGTTCTAAGAAAAGGGGGGGGGGCAATCTCTTACTTTTCACAGAAAGAATTAATGCTTATTTGCCCTTATGTGTGTAAATCATTACCTGTGTAACCATAGTATCCAATCCCAGTTGGAGGTGTGAACAATGCCCCCCAAATGCAATGCTCAGCCCCCGACCTGCGAGTCCGGGTCAGCCTCCCCAAGGTCCTCTGCTCCCTGAAGTGTGAGAAACCCTAAGTGGGTACAGTGTCCAAAAAGGGAGAAGGAGAGGCTCAAACCTGCTTGGCATTCACAGCTGAAGGATGCCTGTGTCCACCGGATGAGTTGTTCCTGGAAGGGTCCTCTGGGAACGAGTGTCCCCGATGCTCTGAGAGAAGCCTGGGGAACGCTCCATGTCCGTTTGCTGTGTCTAAACAAGAGTCGCTAGAGAGGGGACAAGCGGGTGCCTCGTTGGAAGTCACTTAGGGTTTCAAGATGACGGCTCTTTTGACACAGCTACTTCCCCAGGAGGTGAGTCTGTCCCAAGAAAGCTGGGGGAGGCCAGGTTCCAGCAGCAGCCACCTCACAGTGTGCTCTCCTCCTCACTTAACCAGCACAAGCCGGCTCACTGGCTCCATCTCAGCCATCAGTGATTCTAAGCAAGGAACTAGAACTCCTGGCCTTACCTGCCAGGTCTTGAACTGGGCCACGCAGTCTCCCTCCTGTTAGACTCCCTACCCTTGAATGTTGGGACAAGAGGTCGGACTCTTAGAGGTCCCTAAGCTCCTTATATAAATGTTTCAGCTCCTCCTCAGCGCCATGCACATTACTGAAAGTGTAAGAAGGGCCCTAACCGATTTGGGTCAGTGGATAGTGTCAGCCTGTGGACTCAAGGGTCCCAGGTTCGACTTTGGTCAAGGGCATGTACCTTGGTTGCGGGCACATCCCCAGTAGGGAGTGTGCAGGAGGCAGCTGATCGATGTTTCTAACTCTCTATCCCTCTCCCTTCCTCTCTGTAAAAAATCAACAAAATATATATATTTTTTAAAAAGTGTAAGAAGGGAGGGAGGATACACTTTTACTGCCTTCCTTGGGCCATGAAGAAAAAAAGTCACAACTGCATAGTCAGGAAAGGCCAATCAAGTGATTTCTTTGGGTACTTTCTGCTGCAACTTGCTGTCTCTACTGAAAAGTCAAGATGCAGCATAATCTTAAAGTTCTGCCTTACCAGGCATCCAGTTAGCTTAGAACTGGAGGATAACCTTTTTGCATCCTCAATGCAAAAATTCAGGTTTGAAATTAGTTTACTTTTCCTTTGCAATGAGGAAATAAAATAGGTAGCTTTTATAAATAGACTTTAAAACCTTGAAATAGGTAATCAGCCTACTAACTAGTCTTATTGGCATTTAAAAGCAGTCACACTGACCCCATCCACCCACATTTTTTAAAAAATATATTTTATTGATTTTTTTTTTACAGAGAGGAAGGGAGAGGGATAGAGAGTTAGAAACATCGATGAGAGAGAAACATCGATCAGCTGCCTCCTGTATACCCGCTACTGGGGATGTGTCCACAAGCAAGGTACATGCCCTTGACCAGAATCGAACCTAGGACCCTTCAGTCCGCAGTCCAACGCTCTACCCACTGAGCCAAACCAGTTAGGGCCACCCACCTTTTTTTACTTAAGAAGATCATATAGGTTTCAAATGTACATTTCTATGACACATGATCTGTATTAGATTTTAAAAGCACAGAACTGCTTCATTCCAAAACACCCAAATTAGAAGTAAAAGAGCAATTTGTTTTAACTATGGTTCTGAGCACTTTTCTTAATCATCTTTACTTCTTTAATTTTTATTATATTTTTATTTTTGATCTTTATTGTTGAAAGTATTACATATGTCCCTTTCCGCCCACTGACCTCTCTCAGCCCCCACCAGAATCATCTTTACTTTTGATTGGATATTACAATATTCATAATACCTCATACTTCTTTAAAGCATATTAAGGAAAAGTCCCGATTACAGTGGGTTAACGACTGTGATTATTTGAACAGCTACAACTATCACTACAGTATTGCCATAGCTCATCCTTGCAGCTGCCAAATTGAGCAAGAGTTGTGGGGATTTCCTCCCAATTTCAAGGGAAATGATTTGAAAAGAAAGTTACATTCAGATTAAGCAGCTCCACTACTCATGTGACTAATCTTGGTTCATAAGTTCCATGGGCTCTGCTGACTCACTTCTCTATTTAAGATGTTTATTGCCCAGGAAATAACACTTACACTATCAAATCCATTTCCACTGCGAATGATGCCAAAGTTACAGAGCAGCATGGGAAAAGGCTCAACTCCTTCTGTGTGAGTTACCACAAGAATGCTAGCAAAAGAGAAAAGAGTTTCACTTGTTACAGGACTCCTCTATCCGACACTATTAACCAATGTTGAGAAGTGAAGAGGGGATAGGTGACTGACCAGACTGGGCTCCCCTGTGTGTCTGAGACTTGGTGGGGTCACCGAGTGTCATGGATAAGGACTTCAAGTTCAAGGATTAGATCCTTACATTTGTCCAGATACAGTAGAGATTTAGTGCCGACCATGCTCTTAAGAAACTAATTCATAAGCCAAAATAACAATTTATTCAAATTTTTTTAACGTTTTATTGGGGTTGTTTTTTTTTTTTTGAGAGAGAGAGAGAGAGAGAGAGAGAGAGAGAGAGAGAGAGAGAGAGAAATCATTTGTTGTTCCACTTATTTATGCATTCATTGGTTATTTCTTGTATGTGCCCTAATCAGGGATCAAACTCCCAACCTTGGCTTATCGGGATGATGCTCAGTAACCAACTGAGCTACTTGGCAAGCAATAAAACTGTCAGAGGAACAAAATTCCAGTATTTATAGTCAATATATTCACTTTGCAGTTTTAAAAAATCTATTTAGAAACCAAACCATTATCAGAAGTTTACTTTTGAATATAGTCTCCTGTCTATTGTCTTATGTGCCTCCCTTTGAGCCTGTGAGCTCCTGCAAATCAGGAGCTGTGTCTTTTTCATGTTCATATTCCCAAGGCCGAATGCAGTGCCTAGTCTATAGCAGACACTTAACTATTTCTAAGTAATGAACAATAATAGTGTATGTGAAATCTCTCCAAATTCTAAAGAACTATGTAAACAAAGAATTATGATTGTGAGTGGAAATGATGTCATTAAGCTACAACAGACCAATGTACTCATCTTCACAGTAGGGGCAATGGAAGCATGAAAGCAAACCCTGGGAAGCAAGTGAAGATGCACATGTAGAAAAGCAAGATTCGTGTCTTAATGTCAATTAAGTGTTTTTAGATAACATTGTAAGAGACATAAATGACAGATAAAGAGATTTTTAGAAGTATTTTAGATGATCAAAATATAAGAATGAATGGATGTGGAGAGAGAGAAGGGAAACCTCAAAAACTGAAACTTCATTCCCCTGTACCATGTGTCCATGAACTCAGAAACTCAGGTTCTATACCTAGTAAGGAGCTGGGCAACGTCTCCATAGAAGACTGTTTAATATTTCCTGTTTGCATTTCTTTTACCTTGGAAGGTGGAAATGAGGAAAAATAAAAATGCGGGTCAATCAATGAGCGAAAAATTTCCAGAGAATATTATGAGGTTCATTTTATCTTAGAAAAAGATGGAGGTCAGATGGGTTGTGTTTAGGTGAAATGTTGACTATATTGAGGTTAAAATGTACAAAGTCGGAGATCATCGTTGTGATAAGTTACAGCAAGAAATAAGCCAATGACAAATAAGCTGTTAATTCTGCCCTCACAGCCTTGAGGACGAGGAACCAGTGATGGTCATAGTGTGGAATTGGGAAGGTGCCTGGCCACAGACTTGGCAGAGCCACCGACACTGTTGTGTCATGGTTCAGAAGGCACCATTAACTCATTGTCAGCCATCAGTTACATCCATCTGCGTAAGGGAGGAGTATTAAGACCAGAAGCAGGAGAGAACTGGTAGACAACAGAAAGTGCCACTTCCTTCTTTATTCAGAGCATCTTAATTTCCTTTTATTTTAAGTGTATGTTATTTTAAAAATAAAAATTTGGTATGGTAAAATATTGAGATAGGAAGGAATGATTTGGATAAGCTAGTTCTAAAGTAGCAAAAATATCCCTTTCTTTCCACCAAAAGGAGCAATTTTCTTGCTTCTTGTCCACAGTCTCCCTTTCCTGAAAGTCACTTTTTCTGCTCCACAACACACATCCCGCCCAAAAAATAGAAAATAATACTTTAGATGTTTCTGTTCTTTGCTTTTATTTATCTTTCAATCACATGGATCTCAAAAAACAATTGGGCAGAAAGTTTCAGGAAACTAGTCCTTGAATATCACCCTGATGTGATTCCACAGTTAGGGGAGGAAGCCAGGAAAATCTTAGTAGGAGAGGATTTTTTTAAAAAATCATGATTCCTCGTGTACTAGATTAGCTGAGAGTAATAGAAAGCCAGGTAATAAGAGTAAGAAAGAGATGCACCTTCGACAGAGCAAAGTATAGTAAGTGAATAACTGCTTGGAAACAGAGTGAGGCTGGGCCATGTGCACATTAGTATGCCCTCCAGATACAAGTTTTAAAGAATTCAACCATCATGCCATTAAACAGAAGACAGAACCAAAGGAAATAAATCCTCATTATTCTGCCTGGTAACAATCACTCAATCTAAACAGATATCACATGTTCAAAGCTGAAAACAGAAAAAGACAAATCATCATGGAGACTCTTAAAAAACAAAACAGAGCCTCTAGGACCCTTGCGTTCTCTTTTGTGAAATGAAAATCCTCACGTTTCAGAGTTGGAAGGGACGTTAGAGGTCACCCCAAGCCGCCGCCCCCTCTGCAGCCTCTGACAAGTGCTTTTCAGGTTCATTCTTAAGTATTCATAGCTTTCTTCTGAAGAACTGAAAGTCCATTCATGTGAATTATTTACTTTATCACACATCCTTTCTGTGTGATTGAACATTTTCATGATCCCAAAGGAAAAGAAGAGACTCATTCGGGATGTTTGGCGGTTATGATGCTGCAGGGAGGACACAAGCAGCAGCTCCAGCTCTGAGGAGAGTGAAGAGGAAGTTGCTCCTTTCCTTCTAATCTCCCCATTATCAAAAACAATGGACAAGTCTACACGTACCCAGATGGCAAATCTGGCATGGCTTCCTGTGAAATGTGTGGGATGGTTGGTGTGCGAGATGCTTTTTACTCCAAAACAAAACGTTTCTGCAGTGTTTCGTGCTCAAGAAGTTATTCGTCTAATTCCAAGAAGGCAAGCATTTTGGCCAGACTTCAGGTAACGGGTAAGCCTCCAACAAAGAAAGCAAAAGTTCTTCAGAAACAACTTTTAGTTGCTAAACTAGCCGCATATGCTCAGTATCAAGCTACCTTGCAAAACCAAGCAAAGACTAAAGCAGTAGTCTCCATGGAAGGTTTCAGCTGGGGTAACTACATCAATAGCAATAGCTTTATAGCAGCTCCAGTTACCTGCTTTAAACATGCACCCATGGGGACCTGCTGGGGTGATATCTCAGAAAATGTGAGAGTAGAAGTTCCCAATACAGACTGCAGCCCGCCTTCCAAAGTCTTCTGGATTGCTGGGATTGTAAAATTAGCAGGTTACATTGCCCTTTTAAGATATGAAGGATTTGAAAACGATTCAGCTCTGGACTTCTGGTGCAATATCTGTAGCTCTGATATCCATCCAGTTGGCTGGTGTGCAGCCAGTGGGAAGCCTCTTGTCCCTCCTAGAACTATTCATCATAAGTATATGAACTGGAAAGCTTTTCTAGTGAAACGACTTACTGGTGCCAAAACACTTCCTCCCGACTTCTCACAAAAGGTTTCAGAAAGTATGCAGTATCCTTTCAAACCTTGCATGAGAGTAGAAGTGGTTGACAAGAGACATTTGTGTCGAACACGAGTGGCAGTGGTGGAAAGTGTAATTGGAGGATGATTAAGACTAGTGTATGAAGACAGCGAAGATAAAACAGATGACTTCTGGTGCCATATGCACAGCCCACTAATCCATCATATTGGCTGGTCTCGAAGCATAGGCCATCGATTCAAAAGATCTGATATTACAAAGAAACAAGATGGACATTTTGATACACCACCACATTTATTTGCTAAGGTAAAAGAAGTGGACCAGAGTGGGGAATGGTTCAAGGAAGGAATGAAATTGGAAGCTATAGACCCATTAAATCTTTCCACAATATGTGTGGCAACCATTAGAAAGGTGCTGGCTGACAGATTCCTAATGATTGGGATCCATGGCTCAGAAGCAGCAGATGGATCTGACTGGTTCTGTTATCATGCAACCTCCCCTTCTATTTTCCCTGTTGGTGTCTGTGAAATTAACATGATTGAGCTTACTCCACCTAGAGGTTACACTAAACTTCCTTTTAAATGGTTTGACTACCTCAGGGAAACTGGCTCCATTGCAGCACCAGTAAAACTATTTAATAAGGATGTTCCAAATCACGGATTTCGTGTCGGAATGAAGTTAGAAGCAGTAGATCTCATGGAGCCACGTTTAATATGTGTAGCCACAGTAACTCGAATCACTCATCGCCTCTTGAGGATACACTTTGATGGATGGGAAGAAGAATATGACCAGTGGGTAGACTGTGAGTCTCCTGACCTCTATCCTGTAGGGTGGTGTCAATTAACTGGATATCAACTACAGCCTCCCGCATCACAGTCAACAAGAGAAAGCCAATCAGGTTCATCAAAACAGAAGAAAAAGGCTAAGTCCCAGCAATACAAAGGACATAAGAAAATGACTACATTGCAGCTGAAGGAGGAGTTGATAGATGGAGAGGACTATAGTTTCCTGCAAGGAGCATCTGACCCGGAAAGCAATGGCTCTGCCAACTTCTACATCAAGCAAGAGCCCTGAGGGGGCTCAGAAACGGAGGGTGGGAGGGAAGTTTCACACAGGACTGATTTGTAGTCCACCCAGCTGTACGCGGGGCTGTTCTACTGGACATTTTGCTAAACAGAAAATTTCAGTTCCGGATTTGTCAGGTGGGTGGGGAAACTATTTTAGTCATGGGGGGAAATTTTCCAATTTATAAAGATGGACAATTTTTGTGTTGTATTTGAAGCTTTTGAAAGAATTTTGTAATATTTTACACGTTTGGATTTATGTACATTGTTAACAAGAACTGAAATTCTAACTTTTTTGGTAAGATTAAAGTTTAGGTAGCAGGACTGAAAGAAATGATTTAAGAAGGATATAGTTGTAAATGCAAGCGAACTGTCAATACAAATGAACCTTTTTGGTACCTGTTGGGAGATTTGAGGATTTTAGAAGTTCGGCCAGTCACATCTCCAGCTTCCTTTGCTGCAGAAACATGCAACTGAACCCCCTCCTGGAGGGGTTGTCACCAAATGGATCATGGAAGGAGTGATTAATTCTGCTTGTCTGCATTTTTATTGCAGGCCATTTTAAATGTTTGTACAGAAATGTTTTTCATTCTGTGAACATTTATTTGGAGTTCTATATGAAATTGGAAGAACTCTGGATACTTTTCTATGTTCTCCTTTAATTAAAAAATGATAAAAATGATCCTAACACTAAAGTGTTAAACTGGAATGGTTGACCAGATATACAGGATGTCATTCTACAAGTTGAGGGGTAGGGAAAAATGCAATATTATTCTAAGTTTATTTTATTTTCCTTACTAAAAAGTACCCCACAAAAGGGATTTTGATTAGTTCTCTGCCACTTCCCTCCATCTGTGAGATAATACTTGGTATAACCACACCCCAAAACAGATGTTCTGTATTACCAGGAGAATCAAATTCAAAGTTGTTTAAAGCCAAAATAAGTTTGGATTTCAAAATCATTCCAGCTCTGCTTTTAACTATCCTGGATTTGTTAGAAAACTAATTTGAAAGAGAATTTAATTTTCTTAAAATTCCATATATATCTATATAGTATGAGCTGCCTTTACTTGTGTTCAGAATTAGTTTTAACAATAATAACTGATCTGGACCATTTTGAACATTCCCTATTTTAAAATTCGTATGGCTTCCTTTCAAAAAAGGGTCTAAGGGTAAATTGGTGAAAGGCTTGCTCTCTGCATTTTCTAATGTTGAGTTGTGACTGAATGAGAGAGCTCTAGCGTTTACCAGTGAGGTTCATAAACGAAACTCTCAGGAATTATTGCATCTGTTCTAGAAGTGCTTCTGGGTCTTAGCCTGGCCTCTTCAGAGTGGTGATAGTGACCATCTCCTCTGGAATATAGGTAGGGCTAATTAGAAATTAATCAAAATGATTAAACTCTACAGTCCTTCAACCTATGGAATGCTTTAAAAAATGTTAATGGAAAGCCCCAGGAGACATTTAGGTAAGATTTTTGTTTGAATTTTAAAATGCAAAGAACATTAAAAACCAGCAATTTATTTTCTAAAATAATGCTCTACTTTTGGGAATAATAGCATTGGTAATACGCACAGGTTTACCCCATAAAATATTATTAAATAAAAAAATTAAAAACAAAACAATAAACCAGAGAAAGGAAACGGTACTCCAGAGATTCAGAAGCTTTACATGCATCTGAACGACTTATATCTGGAGCCAGAAAAAAATTATAGGAAATTGTTGGGTGTCTTAAGTGGAATTGAAGAAGTCATGAATATATGGGGATAGGAAAATAGAAAAAATAAGATAAGCAAAATGTTGGTAATTGTTGAAGCTAGTAATGAGGACTTGCATAAATTTTAAATTTTTAAAAAATTTGTATTCTCTTTTAGAGAGAGAGGAAGAGGAAGGGAGAAAGAGAAACATGACTATGAGTGAAACATTGATCAGCTGCCTCCTGCACACACCTGGACTAGGGATCGAACCCAAAAGCTTTTGTTGTTCCAGATGATGCCCAACCAACTGAGCCACCTGGCCATAGCCATTACAGCAAATTGTTGATGGGATATTCCAGAAACCTCTCTTAACTTTCACTACAACTATTGAAGCATCTTTCAATGGACTGGCATGGGAGTTTTGCTCTTAATCAATCCTTTCCCACACTGTAACTTTAAAATGCTATGTGGGGATGTCTATTAAGAGATTAAAAATGGCTCTGACCAGTTTGGCTAATTGGCTAGAGCGTCGGCCTGTGGACTGAAGAGTCCCAGGTTCGATTCCAGTCAAGGGCATGTACCTGGGTTGCGGGCACATCCCCAGTAGGGGGTGTGCAGGAGGCAGCTGATCGATGTTTCTCTCTCATGAATGTTTCTAACTCTCTATCCCTCTCCCTTCCTCTCTGTAAAAAATCAATAAAATATATTTTTTTAAAAAAAGAGAGAGAGAGAGAATAAAAATGGCAGCAGAGTAAGTGGATGCTGTGCGGACATGCTCCCAGGACCAAACTGAAATTACAATTAAAATACAGAAAAACTTCCTGAACAATCAACAGAAGACTCGCTGGAGAGAACCCTGATAACCGAGGACCAAAAGTGGAGACCACACAAAGACTGGTAGGAGAGGCTGAGGCTCGAAAGGGCTGGCCGGGCTCCAACAGACAGCAACCAATGTTCTTGAGAGATATCTCAGCTGTGGGGGGTTGCCACTGAGAACTCTGGGGTCTAATCCCCAAGCTCAGCCCTGCAGCAGAGAGCACCAGAACTGAGAAGGGTACCCACATAACAACTGGCTGTGAAAAGCAATAGGGTTGGTGTCTGGTAGGGAGAGATGGCTGGAAATTTAGGCACACTCTTAAAGGGCCAACACACAAAATTCTCTGTCGAACCACCCACCTTGTGCTCCGTCGGTATGGAGCTGTGTGAGCAGAAGCCAGGATAGAGGGCTCTAGGGTTAGAACTCAGAAGGCAGACACCCCAGTTTCATGTGCTGAGTCATTTCCTCATGATGCAGAGGTCATCTTTCTCATGTAGACATTTGCTATAAAGGCAAACTTGTCTCAGGGGAAAACAGTTGAGCTACCCTGTTGGAAAACACCTTGCCCCATGGTGTGGAGTTGCTCTGGCCCAATAAGAGACTGAGAATAACAATTAGCCTCCAGGTAGAAGCAATTGCCCCACCATGTTGAAAAAACTCTTGCCACACCTGTGTATGATTGTGTGAGAGCAATTCAAGACAAAATCCTATCAGTCTGTAGACAGAGGCAGTCTCTGGGAGCTTTGAATCTTTGCCTGATCTAATTAGTCAGAAACAGCATTTGACACTGTCTTGCACTAGAGATTGAAAGGTGTAGCAGATCTACATAATATATAGTCACAAATCCAAACAGGCAGCCCAAATGAGGAGACAAAGAAACAACCCTCAAATGAAAAAACAAGAGAATTCTGCAGAAGAGATAAATGAAATGGAAATAAGAAATTTATCTGATACAGAGTTCAGATTACTGATGTTAAAGATGCTCAGCAGCATGAGAAAAGATATAATAAAACAAAAATAAAGTATGACAGAGCACAAATACAGAACACATTGGAAGGAATAAACAGCAGGTTAGGGGAAGCTGAAGATCAAATCAGTGAATTAGAAAACAGGATTGAAAAAATCACTCAGATAACTAAAAAGAAAAAATTAAAAAACAGGAGGACAGCCCTAACCGGTTTGGCTCAGTGGATAGAGCGTCAGCCTGGGGACTGAAGGGTCCCAGGTTCGATTCCAGTCAAGGGCATGTACCTTGGGCACATCCCCAGTAGGAGGCATGCAGGAGGCAGCTGATCAATGTTTCTCTCTCATCGATGTTTCTAACTCTCTATCCCTCTCCCTTCCTCTCTGTAAAAAATCAATAAAATATATTTTTTTTAAAAAACAGGAGGACAGCTTAAGGGATCTGTGGACAATGTAAAACATAACAATATTTGAATAGCAAGTGTGCCAAAAGAGGCAGAAAGGGATACAGAATGTGTTTGAAGAAATAATGGCAGAAAACTTCCCTAACCTGGTAAAGGAAAAAGTCACACAAGTCCAGGTGACACAGAGAACCCCAAGCAAGAAGAACCCAAACAGGCCCATGCCCAGACACATCATAATTAAAATGCCAAAAATTAAAGACATAGAGAGAATATTAAAGGCAGCAAGGGGAAAGAAGATTGTTACTTACAAAGGAGTTCCCATAAGGCTGACACCTGATTTCTCATCAGAAACTCTACAGACCAGAAGGGAATGGCATGAAGTATTCAAAGTAAAGAAAAGCAAGGATCTGAAACCAAGATTACTATGTTCAGCAAGGCTATCATTCAAAATAGACAGTCAAATAAAGAGCCTCCCAGGAAAAAATAAAAAGGCTAAAGGAGTTCATCACCACCAAGCCAGCATTACAAGAAATGCTAAAGGGACTACTGCAATGAGAAAAAGAAAGAGAGAGAGAAACCTAGGCATACAGAATTAAAATGGCAATCAATAAGTACCTATCAATAATAACCCTAAATGTAAATGGATTAAATGCTTCAATCAAAAGGCATAGGGTAGCTGAATGGATATGAAAACATGACCCAACTATATGCTGTCTTCAAGGGACCCACCTCAAAACAAAAGACACACAGGGGATGAGAGTGAAGAGATGGAAAAAATTTTCCATGCAAATGGAAAAGAAAAAAAAAGCTGGAGTAGCAACACTCATATCCAACAAAATGAACTTTAAAATGAAGGCCACACAAGAGACTACGAAGGTCACCACATAATACTAAAGAGATCTATCCAACAAGAGGATATGACCCTGGTGGTAAACATATATGCATCCAATAGAGGAGCACCTAAATATATAAAACTTCTAGAGGACTTTAAGGGAGAGATAGGAAACAGTATAATGATAGTAGGGGAATTTAACACCCTGCTGACTTCACTGGATAGATCTTCCAGAAAAAACTTAACAAGGAAACAGTGACTCTCAGTGGTTCACAACCTTCCTAATGCCGTGACCCTTTAATATAGTTCCTCATGTTGTGGTGACCCCCAACCATAAAATTATTTTTGTTGCTACTTCATAACTGTAATTTTGCTAC